GGGGGGGTTTGGGGTGGGTTATTGCCCTTCTAACGAGAACGCCGCGATGCGAAGAGGTTAACGCGATGCTTTGTGGCAATTTCAGTTTCCTACCCATCCCCGTCTCACTAACCTGGTTGATGCAGGTTAACCCCTGGGCTGACCGGGGACCGGCGTGTGTCTGTCTGGGAAGAAGCACAGGGCTTCCTTTAAACGTCTTTGTCCTCCTCATAGACTTTCCAACTGAATGCTTTTATGTTTCTTACTCCCTGGTGTGCAAAAAGTCAATGTAAAGATCTCCACAGCTGACTTCAGTTCCTTATGTGATCTTTGCCTTTGCCCCTTCTGCTCTGAGACTTTCAATACATATTTTGAATTTTGTTCTGTGTCAGTAGCGTGAGACTTCGCTTCTGCTGATAGTCTGTGTTTAAGCCATATCCTAAAGAAAGAATGTCAAAGTTTGTTGGTGTGTGTTTTTTTTTTTTTTTTTTTTTAGTTGCTCCATTTCTAGTTGAACTTTGTTGAAAAGAGAACGTTGGGCTTATAGTGCCTTGGCACTACTAGGTATTTCTGTAGCTGTGACGCATTTTGTGCTTAAAATTAGCTTTTGGTTTTTCTTTCACTTGAATAATTTTCTTGTTTTATTATTGTTTTTGCAGATGACACCACTGGTAAGCAAGAAGATGGACCAATTTCTGGGTGAGTCCAGAGACTGTTTATTCATTATAACAACATACACTGCAAAGAAGATGAAGCCATGTTAAGCATAGCGTCGTGAACGCTTTAGACCGATGCTGTTGCCAGAAACAGCAGCCTATCCTTTTCCCATCCCATGGGATCATCCCCAGCCGCCACGCTTGGGCTGGCACAGCATTTATGGATTTGGAAGGTGAACTGGATCAGTCAACTGATTTGACTTAAAACTAACTTTTAAACCCCCCCCCCCCTTTTTTTTTTTTCCCCCTCCCCAATTATTTTTAAATCAGATCTGTTTTCCAGTTTAATTCCCTGGGAAAAATGGTGCCTTGAGGATTGGCCTTTGTCCTGGCCTGGCATTGGTAAAACTGTGGCCTGTGCTTCAGCCTGGAAAAGCTAAAAACCTTAAGCCTAGGTTGAAATCTTGACATGATCAAATCAACAAATTATATGAGATCTGTGAAGTATGTGGCTTGGATAAGACTTTCGCATAAAAGCATTGGGGACAACTCAGCGATCAGTTTTGCTCTCTGTGTACGGACCGTATTGTCTGTCCTTGGTCATAACTCCCCTGTATTTGTAGCAGTCTGCTTTGCACCAACAGAGTTTTCTCTTGGCAGAAAGATAATCTGTTTGCCATTTTTTAAATGTAGCATGGTTTTCAGAAGACTTGATCTTCACTGGACTTCTGTGTGCTCAGCACCTTCAAAAGTTCAGGTTAATATTTATTGTCCTTTAAGATCATTGTGAATTCAGTATCTGGAATTTCTGAGACTGTTACAGATACTGTCCTACTTCTGTAGTAAGCATCCTGTGCTTAGGGAACACAAAAACTTGTTCAAAAACAAGTTTTAGGCAGACTTGGTAAACTGGTAGGTAAAAACATCAAACGAGCTTTGTTGGAAGGAACAATTTTTAGTTTAGATAAAAAAAATTACTGCTAACTTGCATCAATCTGTTGTTCCTTGTCGCTTTCATCTGAATGTAATTTTACTTTACAAGTAGGATTAAAAATCTGAATTACCAGCAACTGTCTCCAATAACCACAAGATGTGTGAAGGAAAACTATTAGTGATCATGCTAGCTCTCCTCTTAATTTTTTTTCCCCTCTTTTTTTTTTTTTCCTTTGTTGCACAATGAGAATCTTCCTAAATGAAGAGCTGTGGGGTGTTTTAAGAAAAATGCCTCTTTGTTTTCTATGTTGTCAACGGCTGCAGCTCCAGGGATACATAGCTGGCTTGTCTAGAGTACTTGTGTCTACCCATGAAGCAGAGATCAGTGTCGTGCAGGATGCAGTATCCATTAACATTCCTTAGCCTAAAGGATGCATTAAATACCAGCAGTCTGTGCAGGATGCTGTTACGTCAGCAATGCACGGGGTTATGTTGGCATTCTGGGGAAATGAAATAGCTGTTGACATTTTTTTGCATGCAGATGATGGCTGTGGACCTGATTGTTCCATTCCTGGGAA